GAAAAGCAGAGACGTTAGAGTTTGTACCTCCGGTGTCCAGGTTAACAGTCATTCACGCCTCTTGTGCATGAGCATGCATTCTGGAAAACAACGATGTCGGATCTTGCAGAAGTTCCTCCGGTCGTCCCGACTCCACAACACTACCGTAACTCATAACAATGACCCTACAAGGTAAATAATTCATTGAAGTAATTAAATAATTCAATTGGCAGAATTTTGAAAACTTCGCGGCGTCAGTGGGATACAAATTTACGTCGACAGATGAAGGCTTTAGTAGAGCAAACGGTCTAGCCAACTGAGCTACGAAGCATCGTGGAAATCGCGAGTTCAATCCCACTTTGGTGAAATCACCCACCCAGCCTACTGCAAGTCTGGAATCCACCAATACTGATGTAGTAATAGTTATACGCCGGTCAACACAAGAATGGCAGGGGCATAATATACAAAGCTGCTGGAAAAGAAAGTCAGGTTAAGACGGCACCGTCGTAATGGGGGTTATGTGGATAAAGTATGCGAGAAAAGCGAAAATAAGCTGAGAAATGTTGCTTAAAATGGAGGATGCAGATAGTGGCAGTTGTTTTTTTAAGTGAGTGAGTAATTAATTGGTTCTGGTCACACATCATCCAAAAAAATGGGAACAGAGATTCAATAGCAGAAGTGCAAAAAGAAATTCAACCCCACTTAGGAACACCAATGGGAATAGAAAAGGTCAGAGCTATAGCCAAAAGGCGTGCAACTAGCAGCCGCAAGAACTATATATCTAGATCTAATCTCCCACTGCGCACATAACCGCATGCCGGTACTGATAATGGGTCGCTGATAGCAGACAGTGGTAACACCCATGGCGACGCACACGTCTCGGGAAGAGAGTGGGGTATCGGTCAGCAGTTGTGTTAGGGCTATCGAATAAGCCTATTTTTGGTACATCCCCGCAGAATGCGTACGGAAACGGTACAAGGAAGTCCATGCCTCAGCCAATCATGCGAAAAGATGTCTCCCAACAATACGTGTCCATCGGGCTCAATGCCTGTCCTGCATGCGGTCAAAATGGTTCTCTCACAGTAATTCTGTTTTCTGATTGACAGAAAGCCTACTGAATACAAACGCAGCAACAATATCAGAATAATTAGACCGCAACTTTAAATAGTACACCTTCACCGAAAAAACACTAACGATAATAAATAACACAAGACTTTGCGACAATAGTACTCCATACCCTGGGTATACAAACGTGTTCGATTGACCTCGTCCGGGACCAACTACGAT